CATCTCCTGCGCCATCTTTCTAATTAGTCAGTTACTGTCAGTTAGCAACAGCCTATGGCAGCAGCGGGCCGCTGTGACAGCAAATCCCACTATGCTTTTCGAGGAGAGCTCTCCGCGCAAAGCATTCTGGGATATCTCTGCCTCTTCTGGAGCATTTCTTCTATTCTCATAAACTTTGTAGACACTTTATCTCTTAAGTCCCTCTGCCATTTTTAAAGAACCGCAGTGAGAAAGGTGAGCTTCAATGACTGTCTGAAAGCGTAGATCACCACATATATCCGCCTGAAAGCGTGCATGTGCAGAAACAGATAGCTAACGGGACGAACACGTAGGACGGCCTTATGTAAACATATCACCAGAATGATTGACAATTTGGAGGACCGATTATCTAGATGATCCACACGGAAATAAAAGATCGTCATCTATACCTTGAAATTAGAAATATTCATATATTTTTCCTAATTTTTGCTGCTCTGAGCTAAAGGCATGTTTTAGAGTCTCTATGCTTCACTTGATGATTAATTGATTACTGAAATAGTTGACGATTGTTTCAGATCACAGACTGATACTGCAGACTTCAACTCCAATGCATGTTAACTCATGTCATTTCTAAAAAGGAAATGAGTCATGTGACCTGGGTCACACACCCCCCCCCATCCCAATCCCCCGGCCTGCTGCAGCTGACATCACCCTGTAGAGGGAGGGAAGTTCAGCACAAATGCTGATTGCTCAAACGTCCTCAAGGGTTAGTCTTATCAGGAAAGAAGGGCGTGGCTCGTCCATCATTGGGGGGTGGGGGCCCAGTTTCATTCACCTGATTGATTCTTAGGCCTGGATCCATGACATCACACCATTCTGGAACAGCATCAGCAGCTGGGTTAAAAGTTATGCCCATAGTTTACATAGACTCCTCTGCAGGTCCAGAGTTTAGCAGCAACAGAATGTACTGTAGATCCCCAGAGAAAAAGAGACAACTTTAGATGCTTACAGCATCAAATACCAAACCTGTTAATCATTCTAGGTTCTGAGCGCTTAAATAAAGTGCTATGAGTTCTGTTCTCCCTCTGTGGTGAAAGATACAAGCATAAAGAGATAAGCATTGGAGTGATGAACGCAGAGATTCCTACATAGATTCTGAACACCAAGCAGTGCGTGTGTTCAATGATGAATCCAGGCTGGCGCTCGGGTGCAGAGACCTAGCGGCGCAGGCTGTGCAACTCAAGGCCAGGAAGTTTCCATCCAGCCCTCCACGCACACACTCAGAGTTTTCATGCATTCCTAAGATTCCACATCTGAAGCCTTTCTGTGGGTCTCACTGCAAAAAGGCTCCTAAAGGCAGACGGGATGATTGGCCTGCAACTTCTGGGGTCCAACTCTGAGAAACAAGCTGATTTTAGCCTTAAAGATGGATTCTTTAGCGTAGTAAAATATCACAGCATCATCAGTCAAAGCCCTTGAGTTACTACAGCCTGGAAGCTACTCCTGTTTTCTTCAAAATGGACTGCTTCCAGTTCACCTCGGTTCTTTCCAGATTACTTAAAATCAACAGACAGAATCAGTGGGACCACTGCATTTTTTGCAGTTACCAAAGGGTTCCTTATAGAAGATTTTTTTCAGAATTTAAAGGTGAAACTAAAATGTTTCCACTTGTGGAGTTCTGGATAGAGCATATTGACAGGAGAAAAAGTTTTTATTTTTTTTATCTTAAATGCAAAATATTTATATATTTTTCAGAATGTTGGTATGGTTCTAACTGGGTCGCTCTGTTGGCTAAAGGCATGTCTTACAGTCTCTACACTCCATTAATCAATACTCAATTCATTGATGATCAATTCAATAATTGATTAATCTTGATTCCTTTTTTTTCTCGAGTTTTTACGGCACTAGTGGCCTGTTTTATGGACAGTAGGCTGACAGGAAAGGTGGTATGAGAGAGGGGGAGGGACATGCGGGAAAGGACCACAGGCCGCATTGAACCCTGGTCACCCGCGCCAAGGACTAGGGCCTCCATACATGGCGCCAACCAATGCGCCACCAAAGCACGTATCTCATGATTCATTTGATTAGTTGTTTCAATCCTAGTTGAGTTCTAGTTTTGTCTTTAGCTTGAAAAGCTAAAGGATTCATTATGGGAAGAAGATGAACCATTGGGCGCTGGGAGGTTCAGGAAAATGTCTGCTACAGCCATTCAGTCTTGGTAGGAATATCTTGGCTGTTTCTGTTCATGCCGGTGTTCCGTCAGATGAGCATACGCCATCAGACCAGCTTACCAATAGTCAATACGCATGTGCAAGTGTTCAGATTTGTGTTTAACCCTAACCCTTTAGTTTTGTACGAAAAATAGACATAAAACTACCTTAACCCCTAGAACCCTACGGACCCACCGGTGGGTCCAGCTGCTACGTGACCTCGTAATTTTAACAAACCCCCAGTATTGATGTAAAAAACACATTTGGCACAGTTTGGTGACATTTTTGGATAAATGTGCCAAAATGGCCTCTCCGCCTAAGAAATTTCTCACTAATACCATTCTAAAATAAATATGATTAATCTGATTGAGTCCAAATTTGGTATATTTTTACACAACATTTAGATTTAAAAGTCTGTACTACTTTTCTGTGCTATAAATAATATTTTGGTAGTGTTTTGCAATGTTTATTTCAAAGAAAATTTTGGCGAGGTTCAAAAAAAGCAAAATATTTTGTATTTTGTCCCTAATATTTCAGGAAGGGTCAAAGCTACAATGGTGCTGACACCAGAAAACCATTCTATGACATCTTACTTTACAGAGGTAACAAAAGTTTCTTCTTAAATCTACTAGCTGTGAGGCTATAAGTGATTTACTTTTGTGTGTTTTTGTCAGGCAGAAATTTATTTATACCCCCTGAGGGTGAAAGAGGTTAACGGGTGTGCATCCCTTCAGTCATGTACAAAAAAAACTATTTAAGGTCATACGCTTCAAAAAACACAAAAAAAATTAGTGATTAAATTGTTTTTCCGTACAAAATGAAAGGGAGAAACTAATGGATAAAACTAAAGGAATAAAGGGGTATTGACTATGGGTATGCTGGTCTGACAGAACAACAGCACTAATAAATTAGTACCATCAAAGCCGCAGCATCTTGCTGGGTCAGACAAAGAACCACAGTCTCATTGGGAGCAGAACCCATCAGGTCAGTGACTTGTTTCAGAGTCCAGGGTCCAGTTTCAGACCAATTTCTTTAAAAGAGATTAAAGTTAACATGAAAAAAGCAGCCATCTGATCAAACATCGGAGCACCAAAATGACTGGCCTTGGTTCTTCCAAACTCCAGTACCCACCTGGGTCCAACCTTAGAACCTCATCTGGTGACCAACCGGGTCACCTTAAAATCCAGATCCTCAAAACACCAGTTCAGACAAAACGGACCAATGATCTGGGTTCTAGCTCAGACCGGTACTGGTTTGTCATTGTGGGAGCAAAGAGACGCACTGGGTGTTGGGGTGTTCATAATATTTTGCCTGATTGTATCGGCTTGAAGCCTATCTGTCAGAACACCCCGAGAGCTGAGCTCACCAGGACGGGTTCCAACTCGCTCGGAGGAGCTGGGATGATGAGGAGAGCTGAAGCCGACAGCCTGCTGGACCCTCCAGTTTCAAGGTCCATCAAAAAGACAAAAGGTCCTCTGATGGGTTCATCATGGATGAGACCAAAGTTAACGAGATTAAAAGTGACAGGATTTGGCCCTGACAGCAGGATTCCTCTCCGAGAAGCAAACCTTGGTTAACAAGCTGAGATAAGCCTCCCAGAGAGGGCGGGGCGTGGGGGGGGGCTCCTCCACCTTCACCCATCAGCAGGTCTGAAACTCAAACACTGAAACTTCAACTGAGCTGGAAGCTCAGCAGAGAAAAGCTGAAGTGGAGGAGAGGAAACTTTCAGCTGCAGCCTGAAAAGCAGGATTAAAATCGCTCAAATGGGACCCGAGTTCTAAATGACAGATGTTCTGATGGGCTTCACGTAGACATGCCAGAACCTGGGACTGAATTCACCTACAGACCCGAATCTTTCAGGGCAGAGAGCAGATCCAGGCATGCTGCCCACAGGAGCACGATGAGTCACTATGGGCTGCACACACACACAAGCATGAGGGCTGATTTCTCAAGCAAATGCCACTGCTGTGGTCATGATTGGACGGACCGAACCAGGACTGGTTCTGATTTGGATCTGAGCACATTTGCTTCAACCTTCTGTCTGTTCTACGAGCAATTAAACTAAGTCTCAATAAGAACCAAACCTTTAAAACATGAAGCTCCCTATGCAGAAAAATGGATCTCTGAACTGAACCTGGGGAGCAGAACCTGGGGGGCAGAACCTAGGGAGCAGAACCTGGGGAGCAGGACCTAAAGAACCTGGGGGGCAGAACCTAGGGAGCAGAACCTGGGGGGGCAGAACCTAGGGAGCAGAACCTGGGGGGGCAGAACCTAGGGAGCAGAACCTGGGGGGGCAGAACCTAGGGAGCAGAACCTGGGGAGCAGGACCTAAAGAACCTGGGGGGCAGAACCTAGGGAGCAGAACCTGGGGGGGCAGAACCTAGGGAGCAGAACCTGGGGGGGCAGAACCTAGGGAGCAGAACCTGGGGAGCAGGACCTAAAGAACCTGGGGGGCAGAACCTAGGGAGCAGAACCTGGGGGGGCAGAACCTAGGGAGCAGAACCTGGGGGGGCAGAACCTAGGGAGCAGAACCTGGGGAGCAGGACCTAAAGAACCTGGGGGGCAGAACCTAGGGAGCAGAACCTGGGGGGGCAGAACCTAGGGAGCAGAACCTGGGGGGGCAGAACCTAGGGAGCAGAACCTGGGGGAGCAGAACCAGGGGAGCAGAACCAGGGAGCAGAACCTGGGGGGGCAGAACCTGGGGGCGCAGAACCTGGGGAGCAGAACCTGAGGAGCAGAACCAGGGAGCCGCCCTCTGCAAACTGAGGAAGCGTCAAAGCGCACACGCACAGAGTCTGAGAAGCTCCTCACCTGAGATTATCTCCCGCTTGGCTTCATCCAGGTGACTGGAAACAACGTCCCCCATGATAGAAGACAGTCAGGCCCACTCAGGTCTCCACGGAAGGTCTTTAAAAACACTCTGTGGCCTCCTCTCCACCACAACCCACGCAGCTGACAGCAGTGGATCCAGATCCACGGAAAGAAAGGAGGAAAAAACTTCAGGCTGACTAACAAACCACTGGAGTTCTCTCCTTCAAGGGACACACCCTCTGCTGAAGTAGGAGGAGACTCCCCCACCCTCCCCTCCCCTCCCACCCGCTACGTTCAGGTGCTGCAGGAAAACAGAGCTACAGAGAACTCATTTAAACATTTAATTTCATTTAATAAAATAATAAATCAGCCATTAGGAATAGTTTCCAGCAAACTCTGTTATTTATTTCAAAGATAACTACAAACTGTAATAATGTATTAACTCTTTAAGGCTCTGTGCTCTAAGGTCCAGAGCAGTGGTGGGTTCTAGATGAAATATATCAGGGGGGCCATGATGAGGCCGCTGTTTTTTGGGGGTGCATAAAACTGAAAAAGAAAAAAAAAACACAAAAAAACACACACACACATACACACAGCTGTTTTTTTTTTATGACATATGGGGACATTTCATTGACTTGCATTCATTTTATATGGCCTAACCCAGACCCTTACCCTAACCCTAACTATTACCAAGATGTTCCTAATCTTAACCTAAACTGAATTCACACCTTAGTCCTAAACCTAACCCCAACTCAAAGAACAAACTTTACCCAATAGGGACCAGCTGAATGTCCCCATATGTACCTGTAAGTCCTCACATATAGGATATTTTACAAAATACTTCCCTCACATTGTAGGTAAAACAAGATCAAACACACACAAACACATGTTTAGTATAAGTGAACCATAAAACCCAGGTTGCACACTTGATCTAACGGTTAAAAACTGTGATCATAATAGTTAAAGTAAATTGTCCAGGCAAGATATAAAATTGGTCCAAGGTTCGAATCAGTAAAAGTATTTTCTTTCATTGCCTGTGATCATTGGAAATATATATAGTTATACTGCAAAAACAGATCTAAAAAAGAATTTTTTTTTTTAATAATTGCATCGGCTAATTGGGTTAATTTTTTTGTGTGTGTTTTCAGTACAGGGGCCATGAAAGGGATCAGGACTAGTTCTACAGGGGCACAGGCCCCTTTTGGCCCCTGTCTAGAACCGCATCTGGTCCAGAGATTTGGTCCTCCAACTTGGCCTCCCTGAACCTGCTTGGATGCAGTTTGCAGACAGTCAGCTTCTAGCCTATAGGATCTATTCTGAATTTTTATTTTCTAATTTTCTGTAATCAAATAGACAAACATTGATTTATCCCAATAAATGAAACAGATCCATCTCTGTCTTAATATCTGAACAATATTTCACTCTAACTTTTTACTGTGGGAGATGTGCAGCTTAGCAGAGCTCCATCCATTCGGGGGTCAGGGTGGGGGCTCTGAATCTTTTTAATGAAGTATGTAACAAATCCCTTATATGTAAATAAAGTCATTTAAACACTGTGTGTTTCTTTTAATCAGGTCATAGCTACACAACATGATAAGCAGACGTGTAGTCTACTGTTGGTAGGAGCAAAGTTCTGGAAATCTTCTAGAACAAACTTCAGCCTTTATTAGTGAACAGGAACAAAAAAAAATCTTATTGCTGCAGATTTTATAACAACTGATCGGCTCAAAGAAGGAAAGCTCTGCTCTAGTGAAGCCAATCGCCTTTGCTTTTGATCAGGTAAACAGTGCTGCTGTCAGATGAAGAGCTCCTGTAGAGAGAGGCTATAAGAACAGATGGGGAATAAATCAATCAGACTAAAGAAGTGATGTGATCAAAATCTCTGAAACAAGCTGAGAAAAAAGATGTTGCAAATGTTTCTGATCCCAGAAATGAAAAGCAGTTTGTCTTTCTTCCTATTGGCTGTTTGGCTTATCCACATTATTTATGGTAGACATCTGGAAAGCTTTAGGAGGACCATTAAAGCTGCAGTCTGTCATCACGCACAACGCAGACTCCTGTAATAGCAAGCAAATGTTTCACTGTTTTTTAGCAGCAGCCTCTCAAGAGAACAACCAATGGAGCTCAGTTCTTCAGCCTTAATCCTTGATGTCATTGATCAGACTGTAGCTGCTGCTTCATTCTGCAGCTGCAGAGAACTACTGCAGTTTGCTCCTAATCTAAAATCATAAAGGTGGTCAAAGATCCTCAGCATATATGAAGAAAGGTCACTAACTAGTTAGATGTTCTCCATAAGAAGGTAGAAGTTGTTTACTGGCTCTCTGCTCTCATCTGGTGGACACTAAATGTTCTATGTTAGTTTTTAAACCATGGGTTTCCAGATGCATTTAATCCATTAGGTCCCAATATCCAGAAGTTTCAAATGTATTAATATTTATTACTCAAGTAGAAGTATAAATCCTGTCTAAAAACACTTTTGTAGAAGTTAGAGGATCACCTTAGCTTTTTACTCAAGTAAAAGTGTTAAAGTACCATTTTTAAAACTTGTTAAGGACAGAAGCTTTACTGCACTACTCTGTTAGAGGAAGATTTTTCTATAATTCTGGATGATAACTTCCTTATACCTCATTTTCTTAGTTTTATAACTAATGGTAATAGTGTCAAATTTAACTTTGAATCATCTTGAAATAACAGTTATTTTGATATAGTGAATAACAAGTTTATGCAGCTCCTAGTCCAACCACCATAAAATTGTCTGGATGAAAAAAATTCTGATGAGTTTTATTTTACTGTATTATTTTTTTTAAACACCAAAAGGACATAATGAAAATAAGCTTAAATTAAACAAAACTAATGAGCCTATTTTTAAATGTAAGAAGCAGAAAGTATAGATAATTGCAAAAAAATTAAGGAGTAGAAGTAAAAAATTGTCTAAAAAATAATTATTCCAGTAAATTATACATAGCCAAAATTTCTACTTAAGTAATGAAGTATTTGTACTTTGTTATTGAACACCCTTGGGAATAGCAGAGGTTGGAAGAATACCAAAGATTTTACTCAATTAAGAGTCGCATTAAATCAAAATTTTTATGCGAAGTGAAATTATTTTATTTTTCAATAAACCTACTCAAGTAAACGTAACTAAATAAATATTATTACCACTCTAGCCCAAAATGTTTTATCATTGTTATGGTTCATTTTGCCATGATGATGATGATGATGATGTTGATGATGCTGTTTAAATTCCGTCTGGTCTGATTCTAAATGAAGTTAGTTTGTCATCAAATTAAACACCTCCAGGTTTAGGATGGAAGAGGCAGGTTTTGGTTCTTTGAACCTCCATCTTCCTCCAGAGTGATCCGGAGATTTAACAGTTAATCCACTGGAGATGAGGAGACCTGATGTGACAGGGTGCCTGAAGCCCAGTGGCGGTTCTAGACCTAAATGTACCAGGGGGCCAGGAGGGGGACCAGGCTGTTTTCATGGGGGAACAGAAAAGCATGAAATAAAAAAACAGGGCAAGGGATTCAAATACATTATAAGTAGCTGCATGAAGTGAAATTTCTATTCAATCAAGTTTAAATAAAATTCAATGTCTTTTTAGGTCAATATACAATCAGAATTTAGGAATGTTACATATGTTTGACCTAATTTAAGTTAAAATAACCTTTTTCTATAAAATCAGAATTATAACTCAAGAAAAACTGATAAATTCAGCTGTAAAAATTAGAGTATTTTTCTTAATTTGTTTTGAAAAAAAAAAAAATAGCAGATGAAAACTGGGATCCTATCTAAGCTGAATCACCTTATTATTTTTAAATAATTAGTAAAACACAGTTTGTAAAGAAAAAAAATAGATCCAAATAACCAGTAACCGTGTCTGTTCCAGCGCACATCCTCATTAGAACTTCCTTTAGTATTAGAAGAGGAACCTGAAGGCAGTGAAGTCAGTCTGTTTCCACTTTAACAGATCAAACAGTTCCAGGTGTGTCGATGACAGAAACCATCAGAAGCGTCGATCCTTTAGTTTTCAAATAAATGTGTCCAGACAGATAGAATAACAGGCTTTTATTTTGGACCGGAAGCCTGTTGTTCTCGATAAGCGCAGCGCAGTCTGAGGCGCGCGCACTGCGTAAAGGACGCACCATGGCTCCGCTGGGACTGAAAGCCATCGCTGGGGAAAGTAAGGACAGTTTTTATCTATTTTCATTTCAGGAGAAGGTTACTGTGACTGAAGAAGAGAAATGTGTGAAATTCTGTGGAGCAAAGTTCAGTAGATGGTTCTGCTCAGTGTGTGAGGCGCGCCTGCATATAGTCCAGAAGTGTGGATTATTGGGACTATTGTTGATAATTTGTCATCTATTGGCAGATTTCTGCTCTGGAATTGTCCTAAACTGTTCACTCTGACACCATCCGGCCAATTCTAACCAGTTTATCTGTGTTTTATTGGACCACAGCCTTTCTGAAGCTTTTATTTTGCTGTTTTTTCTGAGAATAAAACATGGAGACCTTGGACGGTGTAAATCCCGGGTCCTTAATCTGTGTCTGTGGGATTAACTGCTTGACAGAGGGAGAGGAGAACAGATTCTTCCAAACGCGAAAGCAGATTTAAAAAGTCCTTCTGTCTCATTTTGCACACAGATTTGTGCTCATTCTTTTAAAAATGTTTTAAAAATATGTTGTGACTAATGGTCAGGACTTTGTGGTCAGGATGATGAGACATCAGCTGATAGCAGCAGATTTAACTCCCAGATGGAAGCAAACTTTTGGTTTCAAATGATTCATTTAAGTTGTCCTGAGTAGCATGAAACAATTAAATAAAATTAAATTCAGTTTATTTCTATAGCGTCAATTCACAACATATGTCATCTCACGGCACTTTACAGTTCAACCAAATCATCCAGTCAAATTGATTAAAAGTTTTCTATCTAAGGAAAACCAGTTGATTGCATTGACTCATTGACTCGAAGGCAATCACTCACACTAAGCATGCTTGTAGCGACAGTGGAGAGGAAAAACTCCCTTTTAACAGGAAGAAACCTCCAGCAGAACCAGGCTCAGTGTGAGCGGCCATCTGCTACACTGGACTACACTGAAAAATAGGCTGAGCTCAAACATCTATAAACAAAGGTGTTGGTGGCAGCAGCACAGCTGATATTTCCCTCCAGGATGGAGTCACAGCCAAACAGGAACAGACCAGATGAAGCTACTA